CAGCCTCCCAGGGCCCCGCACACGTCCGTCCCTCGCTCTCTGCCAGACCCCTCCCACAGCCGCGTCCACGGCGGTGGGTCCAAGCCTCAGAGCCTACCGCGCTCGCGCAGCGGCGGCTGTGTCACTGGAGCGCGCCCGGCCCTGGCGACTTCTGTACAGTAGGACAGAGTCCAACTGTACTTCCAGGCCCTGGTAAGCCACAAGCTCCCCGGAGCCTCCTCTGCGCCCCTCGCGCTCCCCACACCGCACGTGCTTATCCCTGCTCCCTCACCTCTGACCCCTTTCCTCGGGGTAACAAATACGCGATGTCTGCTCGAATAAAAACGTACTGCAGTAAAAGGCACACTCCCACCAGCCCCTCCAAGCCTCCCCTTCACCCAAACTCGTCACCCCATCCTTCCTGCCACTTTCTGAAGCCGGCCTGCAAGTCCCCTTTCCCGAGTGTCCCTGTGAGTGTGATCAGCGCTTCAGTGCGTGTGCTGCGTGTGCTGCAATGTGAAGGCAGGCGCGCAATACCACGACACCGTGTCCTCACCTACCTTCCTCGCCAAGCGTGGCTGTGTAACTTCTGGCTCTCCCTCAAAACAAAAAGACTGTGAGGGGCTGGGGATTTAGCTCAGTGGCACAGCGCCTGCCTGGCAAGCGCAAGGTCATGAGTTCGATTCCTGGTACCGGAAACACCCCCCCCAAAAAAAAACCCAAAAAAAGAAAACCAAAAAGACTGTGAAAGGTGAAAGTTTTGAATTGATTCAGGACCCCAAGGCAGCCAGAACAGTACAACTAAAATGCTTACAAAAGAAGATTTCTAGAACACTTCTGAAAAGTGGCCAAGCATGATGGGATAAGTACATTCAAAGTGAGGAGGAGCATTTTGAGAGGGATTAATGGCAGTATGCCTTTTACTGTAATAAATTTTCTAAAAATGTAAACATTCCAGGAGGCTGAGGCAGGAAGACTGTTGTGAGTTTGAGGCCAGCCTAGGGTATAAAATGAGTTTAAGAACAGCCTGAACTGCATAGTGAAACTCTGTCTCAAAAAGACAAAAAAAAAAAAAAAAAAAAAAAAAGAAAAGTAAATATTCACCTTCTTTTTCAATCACAACTTCTTTTGGTTGAGGCAGGTTCTTGCAATGTAGTTCATGCTATACTTGAACACATCATGTGCCCAGGCTGCCCTTGAACTAATGGTGATCCTCCTGCCTCAGCCTCCTGAGTGCTAGGATTATGGCCATCCGCCAGCACGCCTGCCCAGCTCTCAATCGCGACTTATATATGGATGTAACATATTTGTTTATTCACTTACAAACTGGTAAGACATCTGGAATGTTTTACTCTTTGGCTGCTATGAATAATTTTATAAATATTTCTATGCAAGTTTTTGTCTGGACATATATTTTTTAGTTCTTTTAAGTGAAGACTAGGAGTTCAATTTCAGGATTATATAGCAATGCATGTTTAACTTTTTTTTAAGAGATGGGCCAGGCTGGCCCCAAACTCTAGGTTCAGTGGTCCTCTTGAGTTAGCTACTGGGACTGCAGGCATGCTTCACCACACTTAGCTTCATGGCTAACATCCTCCCCGCCCCCACCCCCACGCCATGATGGGGGATGTGAGCACGCTCAGAAAGTGCTCTGCCACCGAGCCACATCCCTAGTCCTGTTCTTGTTTATTCTGAGGTATTGCGAATGCAATATGGAGCCACTCTACCAGTGAGCTACACCCCTAGCCTGCAGTATGTATGTATGTATGTATGTACGTATCTATGTAGTACTGGGTACTAAACCCAGGCAGCACTGAACTACAGCCCCAGCGACCCCCTCCCCTTTTTGTCTTTTTGAGACAGTGTTTTACTACATAGTTCAGGCTGGCCATGAACTCGCAGCAATCCTCCTGCCTCAGCCTCTGGAGTGCGAGGATTACAGGCATGTGCCACCACACTCGACCAACAGCCCTTTTAAACAAAACAAAATTTTTAGGCCAAGCAGGGTGGTGCACGTCTGTAATTATACCACTCGGGAGGCTGACGCAGGAGGATAGCTATGAGTTCAAGGCCAGCTGCACTACAATGCAAAACCCTGCCTCAAAAATCCAAAAGACAAATCAAGGTGTCTTGAAAAGTCACTAATTTGCTAGTGCTAGGCTCAAACTTGCAACCCTCCTTCCTCAGCCTCCCGGAGTGCTAGCGTTACAGGTGTTTTTATTTTACTTTGAAATGAGTCTCACTCGATCGTGCAGACTGGCCTCGAATGTTCGATTTCCCGGCCTCGTCCTCCTGAATAGTTGGGATGGCCGATGCCCACCGCGAGCCAGTGCCGAAGTCTACGTTATGGTGCTGGCAACGCCGCCACGGTGCCCGCGTTAGTTCACGCTCCCGCTGCCTGCGCGAGGGCCGGCCATTCTCACCTCTCTCCAGGCCACCTTCCATCCCGCACCCTCACCAGGGCTGCGGACGGCCTGCCGGGGCGGCAGCACTGGTCTCTGCGGTCTTCAGCCCGGGTCACCCGCCGGCAGCCCGAGGGGTGGCGCCCTCACCACCCCGGGACACCCCTTCACTGGAGTCTGGGGAGTCGCGGCCGCCTGTTTTTCCTCTCAGCACCCGTGCTTCCTCTTTCTCCAATGTCTTCTCTTTTGGAGATACCGGGAATTGAACCCAGGGCCTCACACTCAGCAATTTCCCCGCCTCTCAAGGTTTTTTTTTCCACAGTCTGCATTGCTGAATTGCTCATGCTGGGCTCAGGGTAACAATCCTCCTGCCTCAGCCCCCCAGAGTGCTGGGGTTACAGGCGTGCGCCTCCGACTTCTGATCACTGGCACATCCTGGACTCAGTCTACTTGTCGTGTCCCTATTCACATTCGCTCCCTTCGGGTCTCTCCTCCCAGTCTACCTATCCCGTACATACACCCATACACACAGCGAGCACGGAACTATACGCCCCCCCCACTCTGCTCTTACATTTTATTTTCAAACAGTCTTGCTAAGTTGCCCAGGCTGGCCTTAAACTTGTGATCCTTCTGCCTCGGCCTCCTGAACAGGGAAACAAGACATAAGAAGAATTAAGATGCACCCATGTCTGGTGGCACACACCTGTAATCCCAGCACTTGGGAGGCTGAGGCAGGAGGATCACTATAAATTCAGCCAGGGCTACAGAGTTGTGTTCAAGGACAGCCTCAACTACACAGCAAGGCCCTATCTCAAAAAACAAAACAGAACAAAAAAAATGAAGATATGTTAAGCACACGTACTAACTCTTCACAGTAAGTGTAATCGTAACGTACTGCAAATGTGCACTAATGGAAAGCCAGAGGCCTCTACTGGTTTCCCAGGTCGCTCACAGCAGGGGTCAACGTCTCTGCAACAGCCCACTAGGCCCTGGGATCCGGTGCCACTGACTCTCTGAGCTCCTCTCCCTTCCTCCGCGCACTCCCTGGAGTCACACTGACTGTCCCGCCATAGAAGCAAGCACATTCAGCCTTCCCTGCGGCACAGATTTTAGAAATCCCGAAACTAAAGAACCACTAAGCCAGTTAAAAGAGGGATAAAAAAGAAAGCCTATCTGGAGATGTCCTGCAAGTATAAGGTCCACAGCCAGGAGTAAGGGTTAAACGGTGCGAATTACGTCAGGAAAGGCCTTCCAAAGCTGCAGTCTGAAGGGGCTTGCTCCACTGAGTCTCTAACTTACAAAAAAATAAGACACACAATAAAATCAGTTGGTTGGTTGGAATGGTGGAAACGAACTATCAGCTGAGAAAAAAGATTTCCTATTTGGTAACAGAATGAATACATAAATTCTTAATTTAATACACTGTTTCAAAAAAAGGCAAGAAAAGAAGAAAAGTGGAAACAAAGCTTCTGTAAATAGGGAGAGGAAGAAGGACCGAGGGAAGATAAGGGAACTGGAAAAAGCACGGAGATAGGTCAGGAACAGGGACAAAGCCCCTGTGATGGAAGCGGTCGCTATGAATGTTTGAGATGCACCAATAACCTTAATAAATCAAAACAAAAAGAAGAACAAAAAATATACACTGTTTCCCTCATCAAGAAAATTCTTCCAGGCGTGGTGCTACTTGCCTGTAACCCCAGTGTACCTGAAGAAGAATCCCAGCCTGCGAGGCAATTTACAAACACCTTGTCTCAAAATTTTAAAAAATAATTCTAAGAAGTATTGAGGATGTAGTTCAGTGCTGAGGCCTTGGGTTCAATTCCCAGTACAGGGAAAAGTTCTTTTGCCATGGAAAACATTTCAGATGGCCGGGGATATAGCTCAGCAGCACAGCACCTGCCTGGCAAGTGCAAGGTTCTGAGTTTGATTCCCAGTACCAAAAAAACAGAAGAAAAAGAAAAATACTGCAGATGAACTAAACAGTGTATTTACTAATTAATGTAACTACACACGTTTTACAGCCTGGAATAAGTTCCCACTCTACTGCAGACCCATAATTACTATTTCATAAATTGGCACAGTCCACAAATCAAACTTTTGAGAGCACTGCCCTGGAGCACCTCCTTGGTCATTTTTTATTTTATGGTGCTGGGGATCAAAGCCAGGGCCTTGTACACAGTAGGCAAGCACTCATCGGTGAGTGACCGCTCCAGCCCACGGCTTTCATCTTCAGTTCAAGTCCCCTAACGTTCTCAAATACCAGCTACACGCAGTGTCAGGGTCTGTGCCTTCTCCCTTACGGCAGCTCACAGCAATTCACACCCCTTGTTTTCTGGATACACGCGGTCTCCTTATTTGTATTACGGAATGTCACTGCCGTTTAGGAGAAGGCCGTGACACCCAAGGACATGGACATCCTGTAAACATTTTCAGTTAACAATTCAGACTATAGTATCACTTCAGGTGAGACTGGGCAACATCAGCCTTGAAAATTGTTTTCATCTTGAAAGAAATATAAAATCATCAACTGAGAGGCACAGCGCCAGCCTGGCAAGGACGAGGTTGTGAGTTTGATTCCCTGTACCGGAAAAAAAAAATCATCAGCTCTTCAACACTAACCTAAATATTCCATCAGCTGCTCAGCAGTTATGATTTCCATCATTGGTGGAAGTTTCACCTGAAAAAGAAAGTATTGTGTCTGTAAAATCCAGTGTTTTAGATGACTGAAGTATTTCTTGAAGTCAGAAACCTAAATATGTATGTATGTCTATACAGCTCTATTATACGTATCTACTATACATACACATTAACATTTTCTACTATACATACACATTAACATTTCCTATCACCTTAAGACTATCAAGGTGACATACGGTATGCAGACATTGAGAAATGTGCTTTCAAAGCCAGGTGCTGTACCTTTTACCACCTCCTGTAATTGTCTCTGGCACCTCCAATAGAGCATGAGACACAATTTGGTTAAAGCGCAGAACAGGTACCAAACATGGCAGATATTCCACTATTTCAGTCCACTCTGGTCATTGAATGAGTACAATATAAAGTTCTATCATACAATGAAGAATTCATCTATATGAGCCTGTTTATAATGTCAAGTTTAAAAACTGGTGCCAGGCATACTGTCACATGCCTGTAATCCCAGCTACCCGGGATCCTGCAGAAAATCCTAAATTTGAGGCCATCCTGGGCAGCCTAGCTGGGATGCAGCTCAGTGGAAGACACACCTGGGTTCAATCCTTAACAGCACACACACATGCAAAAACACACACACATACAAAATACCTGGCAAAATTAAACTGCTACATACTATTTACAGCTACACATTTAGGTAATAAAACTACAAAGAAAAGAAAGGAAATAGATACTATGAAAATTAGGATATGGCCACCCACAAGGAAAAGAGAAGGTGTTGTACTTGGAAAAGGGTATGCAAGAGCTTCTGAGATGCTAGCAGTGCTCTACTTCTTTCTTTGCTCTTCTTCCATTACTGGACATTGAACCTGGGACCTTCCTACCACGGACATCCCCAGCCCTTTGTATGTTTTCTCTTGAGATGGGGGTCTTGCTAAATTGCCCAGGCTGAGCTTGAAATTGCGATCTCCTGTCTCAGCTTCCCAGAGTGCTGGAATTACACTTGTGTACCACCACACCCTGCTCCAATACAATTTTAAAGCTGGGAGGCTGGGGATACAGCTCGGCGGCACAGTACCTGCCTGAGAAGTGTGAAGTCCTGAGTTTGATTCCTGGTACCAAAATAAAAAATAAAGTTGAGGAAATACTTCATAAAATTGAGATTTGATTTATCTATCTATCTATCTATCTATCTATCTATCTATCTATCTATCTACCTACCTACCCACCTACCTACCTACCTACCTACCTATTTATTTGAGACAGGGTCTCATATGTAGTTAAGGCTGGCCTTGAACACACTGTGTAGCACAGGCTGGCCTCAAACTCTTAACAATCCTCCTGCCTCAGCCTCTCTAGTGCTAGGATTACAGGCATGCACCACCATGACTGGCCAAAATTGAGTTTTTAGACAAAAAAAACCCCAAAACAACAATAATACTAATAAAGCTGGGTGTGGCGCATGCCTATAATCCCAACACTAAGGAGGCAGAGGCAGGAGGATCGTTGTGAGTTCAGGCCAGCCTGGGCTACAAAGTGAGCTCAAGGCCAGCCTGAACTGCATAGTGAGACCCTGTCTCAAAAAGACTAAAAACCAAATAAAACAAAACTGAGTCTTTGACAGTCTCTGCTCTTTTCTGAATTAGCTACTAATTGCCATTCAATTCTTACCTTATTCCAAGACAATCCTGTAAGACAGGTACTATTACCTTAATTTGAAAAATAAACTAAAAAAACTTTTTTTTGAGACATGGTCTTGCTATGCGGTTCAGGCTGGCCCTGAACTCACTATGTAGCCCAGGCTGCCCTTCAACGCATGCCAGTACTCCTGTTTCAGCCTCCCCGAGTGCTAGGATTATTGGCCTGGCTAGGTTATACAAAATTTGCCCGAAGTAAGTAACAGGGCTGCAGTGTGAATTGAGATCTAAAACCAAAGCCTGTTCCAATATAGAGTACTCACAGGTTAAGGATCACAAGATTTCTCTTATATGAGAAACAAATAAAGAGCAAAGTAAGAGATAACGGGAAGTAGAGGAAGCGCTTCCTCAAAGCGAAGGGGCCCGCGAGACGAGGGCGGGGAGTGTGGGGGCGGAGAGAGGAGGACTGAGGGTGGGACGCGCCGCCGAGCCCCACGGGTGTAAGCGTTTCACACTGTGCACGTGTGCTAATAAAAGTAAATAAAAACCTGCAAACCAGTGTTTGCAAATTCATCAAAGAAAAACGAACAGAGCACCTTCATTCGGTAAAATGCTGCATCACGCACTCCGGGCGTGGCTCAGTGGTACTGCGCTCGCCCAGCATGTGCAAGGCCCTGGGTTTCACACCTCGCAGAGCAAAACAAAACAAAGAGCCTGAGCACACTGTAAACTGCGACTGAACCTTCCGCTTGAAAACCAGGGCAGGGTGGCAGCACGAGAGGGCAGGCTCTTCCCTAAGCCTCAGGAGACCACAACTCACGACGGACAGAGCATCAAAATTTGGGAATCTGGCAACTAGAGGTGAGTGCATAGAAAAAGGGGCATCCACCTTGCTGTGCTGTTTGATACTCAGACAGCGAGCTGAGCTGGAGCTCGAGAGACAGCTTGCTTTGCTTTGCTTTGCTTTGCTTTGCTTTGCTTTGCTTTGCTTTGCGGCTCTCGCTCTCCCTGCCCCGGAGCCCCGGGTCCAGGGAGTAAAGCGCAGCCCCGCGCCTGGCAGCACCCGACCCTCATACTCAGTGGACTCTTCGCTACAGCCGGCCTTCCGCATGGACGGCCTCCGCACCTGCAGATTCAATCAGCCAGATCAGGAAACGCTCCGCGAAGTGGCACTGTACCGAACATGCACAGACTCTCTTCTCGTTATTCTTCTTCACTCAATCCAGTATGCGCTGGGGATGGTGGGACACACCTACAATCCCAGCACTTGGGAAGCTGAGGCAGGAAGATCGCTGCAAGTTCCAGGCCAACATGGGTTACAAAGTGAGTTTAAGGCTGACCTGAAGTGCGTAGTGAGACCATCTTAAAAAAAAAATTCAATGTGACAACTATTTACATAGTGTTTACATTGTACGAAGTATTACAAGCAATCTAGAGATAATTTAAAATATGCAGGAGAATGTGCACAGGTTATACACGAACACGCTGCCATTTTATACAAGAGACCCGAACATCCATGGAGGTCCTGGTAAGAATCCCAGATACTGGGGGACACTTGTTCTTATGGTAAAATGGACCAGCTAAATAATACAATTTCTTCTTACTTCCAATTTCACTCATTTTGAATACGTCATATAGACATATATGCACTAATATATTCAGGATGAATACATATCATTCACTCTTCGTTAGCTGAAATTGCAAAGAAATGATTCTTTTGAGACTATTAGAAGAACATATTACTGAGAACCAAAGAGAAGAAATGCAGCCTTTCCCCTCTGCAAAGAACTCAAAAAAACTGAAGGATCTTCTCAATATCCCTTTAATTCTGGATCCATCAAATAAAATTTATATAGTATAAGCTATGACGCAGCATGCTTTATATTTGTTTCTCTATGTATTTCTACTTATTACTAGGAGTAATCACTGAACTTAAAAACAGTCAAGCTCAGTTGCGAGCAGGGGTGCACCCCTGCAACCCCAGCTACTCAGGAGGCTGAGGCCAGCGCAAGGCCGGCCTGAACAATGAAAGCAGAACTGTCTCCAAATACAGCAGGGCTAGGGACACCGCTCAGCGGCAAGCCTCAGAGACCCTAGGGTCAATCCCCACTACTATGGGGAAAAAATCTGAATACTTTATTATTTTTCAAAGACTGTGATTATCAATACTGTCCGTACCCAAACAGCCTTTACCGGGGCCTCAGCAGACAAGGCAGGAAGGGAGAGTGCAGTGATCTCCCTCATGTCAATGGCAGAGGAGAAAGGAAGCACACCTGTCACTGCCCAACGGCAAGCACATGCTGGCAGTGCTGCGGCCGCAGGGTCGGAAACGGCCCGAGACACACCAGTCCTGATGCTTGCTACCGAGGGGGAGGAAAGCCCCAGAAATGTCCCTTAAATCTTCTCTATAAGCAAAACCCAACACTGTGTGAAGTTTTTAATCTCACCTTACAATACCTACACTTAAAACCAAGTGCACAGAGACCAAGATGAAACCTCTGGCTCACCATTTGCTCTTCCTTTGTGTAAGCCATAAACACTCAAAAGACTTCCACTGGTTACTGTAGGAAAAATAAAGAAATTAGTATGACTGCAACACTCCTCTAAGTTAGAGGGAAAAAAACAAATCCTAGTGAGAAGCAAGAAGTATCTACGTAAAGAAGACGCAAGAAATGTCATCCAGAAGGGAGGGAAAGCCAGGGATATAGTTCAGTGGCACAAGCGCTTGCCTGGCAAGCGTAAGGTCCTGAGTTCGATTCCTGGTACCAAAAAAGGGGAGGGAGGGAAAAAGCCGGGCGTGGTGGTGCACACCTGTAAGCCCAGCACTCGGGAGGTTGAGCCAGGAACTGTGAGGTCATGGCCAGCCGGGATATATGGCAACACCAGCTCAAGAAAAACAGAAAGATGTTAGCCCTTTAATAGATAATCTGGATCGAGAGACTGAGGCAGGAGGATCGCTGAGTTTGAGGCCAGCCTGGGCTACATAGTGAGTTCAAGGCCAGCCTGAACTAAACAGAGACTCTGTCTCAAAAACAAACAAAAAATAGATAATGAGAAATACAGTATTTCTCTCAGTTTATAGTGTGCTTTGACTTAAGCTTAGGTGGGTTTATTGTTTTTGGTGTGCATATGGGGTTGTATTTTTTGTTGCATTTTAAAGTTTAAACTCTTTAAATATTTTACACAATCAAATGCATCAATCCTTATCTTATAGTTTCTACACTGACGTATGCAGAAACCAGTTTAACATAAAAAAATCTTGCTTCAAGATCTTGGCATTCTTCCCTTGACCTACAGCAAGACATAACCTTAGCTCCTACTAAGCAAAAGAAAGAAAACAAGCTGGGCTTGTTAGCGCATGCTTGCAATCCCAGCACTCTGGCAGGCTGAAGCAGGAGGATCGCAAGTTTCAGTCTACCCTGGGCAATTCAGCATCGTATCAACAATTTAGTGAAACTGTTTCAAAACAAAAAACAAAAAGGTCTGGGGATATTGTTCAGAGCAAAAGCCTAGGTTCAATCCTTAGTACTACAAAAAGAAAATGGGGAGAACTGCCTACCCAAAGGTTTCAGGAGGACAGGCTGCGTATTCCCAGCACCTCAAAACACTGCACTCATTCTTCTACAAGAGTGCTGATGCTAACATAATGACTAGATCTTACAGTATTTTATGTTCTCTACCAAAATGGATACTACAGCTTCCATGTAAGTTTTTTCATATGTACATTGTGTTGGCCTCGGAATCTGTAACACTCTTTCCAAAAAAAAAGCAAAGTATAACAAAGTAATGACTGTTTTTAAATTAATACTTTTGTATACATCAAAATAGTTTTTTGTTTGTTTGTTTGTTTGTTTTTTTTTGAGACAGGGACTCCCTACGCAGTTCAGGCTGGCCTTGAGCTCACTTTGTAGCCCAAGCTGGTCTTGAACTCACAATGATCCTCCTCTGCCTCCCAAGTGCTGGGATTATAGGCGTGCGCCACCACGCCCAGCCATTGTATACATAAAAATACCAAGGTAGGCTGGGCATGGTGGCACATACCTGTAACCCTAGCACTCAGGAGGCTGAGGCAGGTGGATAGCTGCTGAGTTTGAGGCCACCCTGGGCTAATGAGTTCAAGGCCAGCCTAAAGAAAACAGTAGAGGTGGGCGCGGTAGTGCAGGCCTGTAACCCCAGCACTCAGGAGAATTGCTGGGAGTTCGAGGCCAGCCTGGGCTATAAACTGAGCTCAAGGCCAGCCTGAACTGCATAGCGAGACCCTGTCTCAAAAGAGAGAAGAAAAGAGAAAAGAACACAATGGAGACCCTGTTTTAAAAAAAGAAAACAAAACAAAAAAAAACCCTGGCCTTCTTGATACTTTATCTCTCTCCTCCTTAATTACTGATGACTTCCACAATTATCTTGCAAAAATGGAAAACAAAGGCTCAATTTCCGTACCTCACTATCTTACTATGACCTTTTCTCTACGGTTCCCTGGTTCCATCCTTCAGAAACTGAGATGGTCGGTTCCTTGGGAAGAGAACTGTACCACCTATTCTGAGGATTTTGTATTACCCTGACTTTTCAGCAACCTTGTTGCCATACTTCCCTTTTTTGGCAAAATCTTTCCTACTCAATCTGCTCCTTGATGCCACTGCATTTGACAATGGCAACGAGCCAATTTTTAAAATTACGGCCTCTCTCCCTGGCTAGCATGACACTGTTCTGCTTCTGCTTCTCCTTCCACTCCACATTTCAAATTGCGCACATGCTGGTTTGCTTTACTCTCTTGCCTGGAAGACTCTTCCACCCTTGCTCCTTCCTCTTCTTCTCCTGGTCTAGTGGAGAGCAGGGCAGGCAGTGAGTGGGGAACAGAGGAAGAAGATGGGCAACATGGTGCTGGGGGCAATCTGTCGCTCTTCATGTATGCTGGGACGGAAGCTGCTGGGGGCAATCTGTCGCTCTCCATGTATGCTGGGACGGAGGAAGGCTAAGAACTATAGCTCATCACTTTCTATGCAGAGTTCACTCTGCATAGATTATTGTTCTTTCACCTATACAGTAACCCCTCAACTTGATTTTTCTCTACCATTTTGATCTCTTTCCTGAGACCTAATCTGTGTTTCTTCCCAACCTGACACAACCAAACTTTGGCACTCACTTTCCCATCTAAAATGATTCCATTTTCAACCGTCTTCCTCTCAATCGCTCATGATTACTAGTAACTGATTTTTGTGGGCATTAAAGCTAGGGGAAGCCATGAATGCCCACTTCAAATCCCAGCATTCTGAGAAGCTGACGCAGGACTGAAGAAACTGAGTGAAGCCTCAGTAATTTATTTGGGACCCTGTCTCAAAATAATTTTTAAAAAAGGGCTGGAGATGTCGTGCCGCTCAGGACGAAGGCTCTGAGTTCAGTCCCTACTACTACAAAAGCAAACAGATCTAGAGGCAAAAACAAGAGCTGAGAACCACAGTTCATAAACTTCAAAATTCATTAGCACGCCTGCTCACTCACAGCCTAACCAAAACTGTCATTTTGTTTTGTTCTTCCATTTCTTTCCTTCTTCCAGTGCACTTTGGCCAAGGCTGGCGGTCCCAAACAGAACAGACCCCCTTCTCCTTCGGCATCTCTGAACACACCCTTGTGCAAAAGGCCTCCTCTCCTTCTGCCTGCCGACCTGGTTCAGCTCTCTCTCCTATGCAAACCTCCACTGGCACGTCTCACCCCCAATCACCCTGTGCTCTGCACTTCCGTAACACGCCGCTCTGCAATTTGTACGTCTGCCTCCTCACCATGACGTGAGCTACGCGAGGGCAGGTTTACATTGGGCTCACCTGTGCGTTCCTAGCCCTGCACAGACCAGCAACCCCAACGTGTGATCAGTCAGTCAGTCAGTGCGAGCTCATGTACTCCCAAGCACGCCAGGCCACGGCACTCCTCCCTCCTCCCGAGTTCTGCAGTGTGGACACTAAGGACAGAAGAGCCTAAGGGAAACCAAGTCATTCCTTCTTACAAAAGCACCTGGGGACTCTGGGCCACGGAACCGAGCGTGATTCGCTGTTCCAAGAGCCTCCATCAACTGAGTCTTCTTTGCCTTTTCAGTGCTCTTCGTTACTCTCCAATATGGACTTACTGCGCGGCATCTGATCACACACATAAAGGTACACAAAACAGTCCTCTATTTTCATTACTTTTGTTTATACTCTTCTCTCTCAAAAATTAAATTTCTGTTACTCTAAATTCTTTTCCTTAAAAGCTTGGTTCAAGACCTACAAATGCCATAAAGCTTTCTGGGACTATGCCAAAGAAAAATTTCCCCTTTTGGGTATCTAATGCATTTCCACTCGCTCTGTGTAACCTAGTAGTATTTATGATTCTTTAATGATGTCAAGGAAGTCAGTGAGGCAATCCCAAACATCTTTTTTTTTTTTTTAATCCCAAACATCTTGACAGCTCTTCAAGAGCAGGACTGCCTCCACTCCAAAAATCTGAGGCCATTATACACAGATAACAGCGATGTTTCTAATCTTACCTTTTCCTTAAGCTAGTGGCGGGGGGCGTGCTAGGGACTGAACCCAAGGGGGACTCAACCCTGCGCACACTACAGTACAGTGCTCTACCAGTGAGCTACATCCTCAGCCCGCCTTTTTGTTTTGTTTTTTGGATTGGCCCTTGCTAGCAACAGGAAAATATTTAATAAATAGCATTTGTTTCACCTGATTTTGTTCTTAACTGGTTAGAATAATCCAAGGTATTTTTTCCCTATAGAACATTTTATCTATGGATATACTTATCGATTTAAAAATAAAACAGGTGCTGTGGCAGGCACTCTGAAATTGAAAGCTTAAATAAGACGCTTCATTCACAGGTAACTCCGAGACTCTGAGTTCTCAATACATTTACTCGTCCTTTTTTCTTTTGTGCTCTACTACCTTACATATACCTTCCCTCATTGTAGCTGTTAATAATTTCAGCGCCCTTATCACACTGCAATGCATAGTAACTGGTAATACCAACCCTTTCATGTAGAGTCAAAGATAGGAAAAATAAAAATCATGCATAAAATGAGAACACAACTTTGAAAACACAGAAGTTGGCTGGGTGTGATGGCATATACCTGTCATCCCAGCACCCAAGATGCTGAGGCAGGAGGATCTTAAGAGTCCAAGGCCAGCCTGGGCAACACAAGAGGACCCTGCTCCCACCCCCAAAAGAATGAAAACTACAAATTATGGTAATTGGGCCTCAGATCAATCCCTTTCGTTAGAATCTGTCCAAAGGGCCACAACTTCCTCGTCCCCATTCTCTTAGGTATCCTCGCCCAACTGGAGAAGCATTAGGTGGAAAACAGACAGAACAAAAACATCAACACTTCCTCCACGATATCACACCTCATGGTAACTTCTGAAGGCCACCTTCTCCATTTCGTCACCGTTTTTTGCACGTGATAGCAATAATACAGAAAGTACAGCTTAAGATAATTAGGTTTTATAGTTATGTCCTACTTGTTCGTAAACACTGTATATCAACATATATGTTTATACGTGAGCACGCGCGCGCGCGCACACACACACACACACACACACACGGATGTCTTCGGCACGGGGGTCCGGGAAGGATTTTCGCACCGGCAGCCGCGGGGACCGGTGCAGGGAGAAGAGAAGCCGGGATGCCGGGCTGCAGCCTGCCCGCCCCGCCGACCCTCCCAGCCCGCAGGGAGCGGGCAGCTGCAGAACGCACCTTCCAGGCCAGAAGCAAAACATTGAGGATGGCCAGCAGCGGGCACGGCCCGTTCTCGTTCTGCGTGATGACGGGCGTGCTCTCGTCCTTCCACCGGATCCACTTGATGTGGTACACCGACTGGCCCGGGAAGCGCTCCTTGGCGGCCGGGCCCTGCGCGCCGGCGTCCGCGTCCTCCTCGCCGCACAGCGGCGCGGCC